AAGTTCACTGCATCCAATTAAGTCTTTCACGGCTCGTGCCACTCCACGAGAAGCATCCAGAAGGAGCTGGCGCGATGACGGGTCAGCATTTCGTGCCAAAACCGTGTGCAAGGCGACAAGCAGGCCACGAACCTAAGAATGAGAGATTCACGAATTATAGAGGTAGCTGAACCGTTTAGCGAAAAGCACAACCAACCTGAGCGGCGACATCACGTCCAGCGTCGAGCGTTCTGTACCTGGCTTCGGCACTATCGGCGTCAGCGGCTGCTGCGCGAGACACGATTAGCAGCTCACTGACAGCAGCTCTGGCAAGGTTAGCCGCGGCGATCACATCGCTTTGTTGGAGCGTCTGAGCAGCACCAGCAAGACGAGTTGTGGCGTCAGTGACGCGTTTCGTTGCACGTGCCAAATGTTCCGGTGTGGCGCCGGATGGCCCAGATGTTCCCTCACCGGTCTCGTGATCGTAGGTCTGCAAGGTGTGATGTCAGACGTAATTGCGAGAAGTACTGAAGGTCGAGCTCACCTTGATTTCGATTCCGATAGCATCAATAGCTGCCTCTAGCGCTCTGGTACCCTGCTGCGCCTTGTCTTCGACGGTCTTCACGATCTTCAGTAAGGACGTCACATTGGACACCATGGTCTAGAAAACGTGTCTTCGTTTTGCCTTGGGAAATATAAAATATTCCGGCTGCGGTGGAATGGTACATCGCAGCCCTGATTGAGACCCTCAGTGCACCTCCGCTTACCGAAATCTACTCCGGGCAACTCGTCCACATCTTCAGTCTCTTCACGCCATTGGTACGCAATTGGGCGTCTGCGCTGACGTCTTGCAATAGGGTGATTGATTTTATCAATCAAAGGAAGAGACTGGCTGATGTGGACGAGTTGCCGGAGCCGATTACAGTCAGCAAATGCGTGGTGAGGGTGCCAATTACGACCGCGGCGTACTCAAACATTGCGGATCTTGAAGTAATTCTCATCACAACTATTCACCTTGGCAGCCTCCTTGAGGTGATTCATTGCTGGGTCGTGAAGCGATCTACCTGAAGCGTTCTTCGTAGCCTGAATGAGGGCCGACAATGAAGCGGCCACATCACGTACAGCATGAATCACCAGCACCTGAATCGCAACAATCAGGCCATTAAAAGGGTATCCACAAGCGGCTAGTCCTACCTGAGCCTCAGAGTTGGAGCTCGGCAAGCTGCCAGCGCCATTTTTGACTGCATCCGAGAGATTGACGATGGTTCGTACGGCATTTTGCGCAGCAACCGCCAATTGCTCCTGATTAGAAGCTGCACCGGCGACAAGGGCCTTGGTGTCTTCGACGAGGGCTTTTGCCGTTTTGATGATTGCTACTCTGAAAAGTGGATTTTAGAGGGGAAGTTCCAGAAAATTCTATAAAAGGCATATGTGTTGATCCCTCACCTGTGCTCATTAAAATCGCGCTGTTCAGTGGCGACATTCAGACTTCCACTGGTGGCGAACAGAATCGTCGTGTCCAAGTCACCAATAATTCCCGATACGGTATTGGCAGCGTTGATACAAGCCTGAGTGCCTTTTGAGCCCTCATGCAACGATGCCAACACAGCGTTCACTCTCTCCACAACTACACGCGAATTGTCGCTCAGTTCACGGTGAGTACGCTGAAAATATGGACCCTTTTAATACCGAAATCAACCTAGTAACCAGAAAACCCAGGAAAAGCCATACGAACCTCATCATTCGGATGTGCACGGCGTTGACCGGCCACTTTTACCGTGTCGATGCAAGAGGTTCCAAGCTTCTGCACGGCCACTTTCAGTTTTTGCGCTACGGACGGTGACGGGAGCATGGCTACGGCCTGAAATGAAATTAATTCAATCAAGAGGTCGCAATAAAGGCCATATAATACGACTACCTGTCTGGCTTCTTCAGCCAATAGTCGATACTTCTCGCTGAGCACGAGCGCCATATTGCCAAGTGCTTGAGGATCGGCATACGGCATATCAGTGGCGGTTCTTCTAAAATGATCTCTGAGTCAGTGTCGGATTGATTCACTGGATTACTGCCAATGAGTGACTGCTCAGGTTAAAACACACTTAGGTATGGCCAAAATTTTAGATTTTTTGTTATATTTTTGGGACTTGACCCAGCAATTTTTTTCCGAGGTTATCGTGATGTACTCAACTACTGTTCTCCAATTAATGAAAAGGATGCTATTGTAGTAGGGTTGGAGGAGAGGGTGGAGAAACGTTAACTTTGGTCGTCTTCGATTTCCTACGGCTGTACCTGTGGTTGGTTGGGCTCAACGAAGGTGGAGTAAGGAGCCGAGGGACCACTGACTCGGTGAGAGGGCGCACAAAAGCAGAATGTGAATTAGCAGAATTGCTGCCCCACCCAACCCAAATACGGTAGTATCGTCTCTGGCTTTATGAGCCA